TCGCCCCTTGTCCCCAGCCGGCAGCAGAGGGCAGTGGGAGGTGCCGCAGGTGGCAGAGGCAGGTCTGTCCTTACCTTCAGAAGGCGTCCGGAGGCTGGGGAGGGGGCGGCTGTTCCCCTGGACACCCGATGGCGAGGCAGTTGAGAAAGAGCAAAAGCTGCCTTCCTACCACCGTGAAACCAGAAAGGAGAGGAGCCGCAAGCGTAACGCAAGAGATAAGGCAACCAGAGAAAGCTGAAAAAGAACAGAAAGTCTGAAGAAAGAAAAAGCGTCTGGCAAAACTCGGCTGGCCGAGGCCGCGGGTGCGGCGCTGCTTCCGGCCCCGCGGCCTGGGCTGTGTCCTGGGTCTGGGACGCTCCTTGACTGGGTTCGCTCTCGGTCCGGGTCCTCCCACTCCCGCTCCTCCGCGGGGGCGCTCTGGGACCGCAGTGCTTCCGGTCCGGGGGTGCCGCGGAGCCGCGCCGCTCCCAGTCTAAGGATGCTCCTCCGCGGGGGCGTGCCTGGTCTTGGGTGTTTCGGGTTCCGGGCGCTCCGGCGCGGGCTCCCGCCGGTCCGGGGATGCTCCTCAGGGGGGGCGCTCCGGGTCGGCGTGCGCGCTCGTCGTGGCGCTCGGGGTACTGGCTTCTCTGGCTGGGCGCGCCGCCTGTGGGTTCCGGGAGCGGCTCGCTCGCTGGGGTGAAGGCGCGCAGCTGGAAAATCCGGCACCTTGCCGGGGGCCGAGGAGGCTGCGGGCGGGGTCGGCGCGCCTGGGTCCCGGGAGCTGGCGGGCCGTGGGCGGTGGCCGGGCGAGCCGCGGGGCCAGGAGGGGGCGCGCCTGGGCGGCTCCTACGCACCCTCCGGGCGGAGGGGCAGCCGGCACCAGAGCCAGGTGAGGAAGTTGTCAGCCGCGGCCTGGCGGAGGGGCAGCATCTGCGCTTAGGGGAAGGGGCTGGGGCCGGCTGGGGACACGACGGAGGCCGAGGAGTCGTCCCAACGCCACCGGGCGGCTCGCCGAGGCCAACCAAAGGTGCGGAGGACTTGTGGTTCCAGCCCTGGGGTCCTGGCTCCGTCCTAATGCCTTCTGCTTAACCTGAGGGGTGGGTGGTTCGCCATTGGGAAGTAGAAGAGGGGCGCAGAGGTGTTAAATTGAGATTTTAAATTGGTTAGAAGAAAAGGAGGCCAGTGGAGAAAGCGTGTTTCTAAGTTTTTATGGTGGGGTGGAACTCAGGATACATATTTAGACTGCTCTGTGATTGGACCTTTCAAACAAAAATGAAAAATGAAACCCACAGCAGGCAGCGAAAAGGTTTAATGAGAGTGAATTTCATTCTTCTTATCCAATCAAAGTCATTCACCACATAATAAAAGAGAAAAATCGTATAAGTATCTCAGTAAATGCAATTAAAAAGCATTTTGCACTCGTCAACACCCTTTCTTGATTAATAACACCTGAGAAACAGAATAGACAGGACCATTCTTTTTTTTAACATCTTTATTAGAGTATAATTGCTTTACAATTGTGTGTTAGTTTCGGCTGTATAACAAACTGAATCAGCTATACATATACATATATCCCCATATCTCTTCCCTCTCACGTCTCCCTCCCACCCTCCCTATCCCACCCCTCTAGGTGGTCACAAAGCATCGAGCTGATCTCCCTGTGCTATGTGGCTGCTTCCCACTAGCTATCTGTTTTACATTTGGTAGTGTATATATGTCCATGCCACTCTCTCACTTCGTCCCAGCTTACCCTTCCCCCTCCCCGTGTCCTCAAGTCCATTCTCTACGTCTGTGTCTTTATTCCTGTCCTGCCCCTAGGTTCTTCATGACCTTTTTTTTGGTTTGTTTTTTAGATTCCATATATATGTGTTAATACACGATATTTGTTTTTCTCTTTCTGATTTACTTCACTCTGTATGACAGACTCTAGGTCCATCCACCTCACTACAAATAACTCAATTTCGTTTCTTATTATGGCTGAGTAATATTCCATTGTAT